ATCCCACATGTGGCAGAGAATGCTTTTCTTTAGGTTCTGACTGTGCTTACTCCTAGTGCATAGCCTGGAAGTCCCAGCACACGTGTAGATTTTGACTGAATTAATTCGACAAAATTTTTGCCCAAGTCTGAAATCTTGTATTGGGTCAGGTGAACACTGAAGGTGATCTATCCTTGGATACCTGGATAATAATTATTACAAATGGATAAAAATCTCCAAAGATGGTTACACACTTGCAACCGAATTCAATATCTGCTTTCTGTAAATTGGTGTCGACCTTGCCAGAAAATTACTAAAGACCCAGACAGATGTCACCAAGTCGCATCAGCAGCTATCCTATCACTACTCATCTTGCCAGTCAGCCCGGCAGACATTCGCAATTCAATCATTTCAATCACAATCATTCACAATCAATCGCAATCACTAATTCAAACCACAGCTGGGAACATATTAGTGAAATAGTCTTTGGTATGAGTGTTGGGGGGGGGGGCCCCCTCCCCCTGCTCTACCCATAGCGCTGCTATTCAACGAATGTCTTATTTTTACTGATATCCTCAAAGCAAGAGTGAGGCCATTTCAAAAGGGGCAAGACAGCTGACCTAAATTACAGACCAATATCAAATCTACTGATGCTTTCAAAATTTTTCATTTGATGGTGCTACATAACCTTCCTGGTTTGGTGCCTTCTTTTTGATACTTATTTTCAAAAATATTTGAAAAATCGCTTACTGACTGCTCTATTTCTACTTTGAAAAACTTGACATTATTAAATCCCTACCAGTTTGGTACTCTTTTGGGAATGGATGCCAATGCCATTATTAGGCTGCTCAATATAATCCATAAAGCCCTTGTCAGAATAAAGTTCCCAATTGGCCTCTTTATTGACCTGTGAAAAGCCTTTGATATTGTAAATCATAACTACCTCTTAAACTTTACCATGGTATTAGAGGCCTAGCTCTGGATTATTAGTTCCTTTCTTGGTGATGCACCATTATGTAGCCATCAATAACTTGACCCCCCCCTCTATCTACCATTGACAGTAGGAATGCCACAGGGCAGCATCTTGGGGCCCTTTATTTCTTATATCAATGATTTGCAAAATGTTTGTAACATTCTTAAACCTATACTATTTGCTGACAATACTACCTTTCCTCTATTCTGACCCAAACTTGCCAAATATTGTCGATAATGAATTAATCCACTCGTGGATGTCTACCAACAAACTCGCTGAACATAGATAAGGCCTAATGTACTATTTTATTTGGTAGTAAATTGCCAAATGAAATTCAACTTCAGGTAGACAATGTTAACATTGTCAAAAAAAATAAGGGGGAAAAGTTATACATAGCCTATACATAGACACGACTCGACTTCAGCACCCACATAACGCAGCCAAAAGTCTTAAATACAATATAGCAGGTAACAGTGGTGATGTCACTTGCACAGATATTACCAGAGAAGAACTAATAACGGTGATTAAAGTTGGGAAACCTACCGCCCCTGGGGAGGATGGAGTAACATATGAAATACTTAATGAACTTACCATTATGACGAAAAGCCCACTGTTAGACCTCTTTAATATTAGTTATAAAGAGGGCAGTATTCCCAGTAAATGGAAAAAAGCTATGATCATCCCTATCCCTAAAGCCAATGGAGAGTACAGACCTGTGTCTTTAACCTCGTGTTTTTGTATGATGATGGAGAGGATAATTTTAAATACTTTTAGATTGTATTATTAAATGTCTAGCTAATGAAAATGATTATTATAGAATTTTTATTGATTTACAAGGAGCTTTTGATAAAGCCAACAAAGAGGTTATTTTATATGAATTAGCTGGTCTTGGTGTTAAAGGGAGATTATTGCGCTGGATAGGGGATTATCTTTACGAAAGGAAGGCTCAGGTGTGGTATCAAGGTTGTATGTCAGGTGTGAGGTCTTTTGAACTCGGCACACCTCAGGAAGGAGTGTCGAGTCCCACCCTGTTTAATGTACTAATTAATAAGATAGCATCTGAGAGATACACAAATGGGGTAACTCCGATCATATATGCCGATGATATTTTGTTTCAGGGCAAGGATATTTCAAAGGTTCAAACAGTGTTGGACAATTTCGGAAACCTGTGTCACCATATGGGACTGGTGGTTAATGAAAACAAAACTAAGTTTGAATGTAAAAGTCGGAGGCCCATTATATTGAAAATAAACGGTACAAATATAGAGAGAGTTAATATATATAAATATTTAGGCATATATGTTGGATATACCCATGAGAGTTTGGAAGCTGAGATGAACAGACTGTTGGGTCAATGTCGGAAGAGATTACAACCTCTGAAGGCCTTGGCATGCTGTAGAAAGGGAGTGGGAGTCCCTGTGCTACGAATGATATACTTGAGTACTGTAAGATTTCTTATTGATTATGCTGCACCTGTCATTTCTTGTTTTGGTAAAGGTAGGATGGGCAAGTTGGAGAAGGTACAAAATGAAGCCATGAGAATTATCTTAGGATGCCCAAGAAAAGCTATGATTGAGATAATGAGGATGGAGTTGAATCTGCAGAGTATTGGGGATAGAATTGTAGAGATAAATGTAGCCTCTGCCATTAGATTAATGAGAGGTGGGGGAGCTAATGAATTAATCCTCTCGGTTCAAAAGGTGGGAAGTAATGAACAATGTATGATGAAGAAGAGAGTATATATGAATAACTTATGTTCTAATGTTATAAAGTATGATGTTATTACAGAGTGTATTGCTGTGCCCAATAGAAAATTCACACCACCATGGGAGGATTGTAATGTAGATGTAGTAATTATTCCCTTGCAAAAGAAAAAAGTATGTATGAAATAGGAGAGCTGAGGGCAACATATGATTGTATAATTAGAAAATTGCCTACAGAAAACACTCTACATGTATATTGTGATGGGTCAGTAGCTAGGGATGGGAAGGCAGGATGTGGAGTCTTGATCAAGGAGTACACTGACATCGGCACTGTAGATACTGTTATTGGACGCCGCTTAACTGACAATGTCTCTTCAACGCAGGCTGAACTCCAAGGTGTATTAGCAGGATTACAGGTAGTAGTCAAATGTGGTAAAAATGCCTGCTTCTTTATTGACAGTTGATGAGCGTTAGAGTCTTTAAATAGCAGACGCCCAGTATACCAGAATATTGTGATAGAGTGTAGAGAGAATGTTAAGAAATTAGAAAAAACTGGGTATAAAGTAAGATTCATGTGGATCCCTTCACATGTGGGAATACTGTTGAATGAGGTAGTTGATGAGATAGTGAAGAGAGCCACGGAAAAAACTCTTGTTGATGTTGTATGTCAGATAACCTTGAAACAAATAAAAACAAGAATCAAGATGATCCAAGAGGGTGAAGAAATGGTAAAGAGAATGGCAATGGTGGACAGTAGTAACACACTTAAGAATTATTCAATAATAAATACAAATTCGTCCTTCACTTATGGTAAAGGAAAGTCTACTTGGAAGGATTCAATTTACATAAGATTAAGATTAGGGTACAAATATATCTGGCAATACGGTGTTGATGTCAGTGAAAAAGATAAGGAGTGTAAATTATGTAGTATGCCGCACGCCCACACCTTAGAACATTATGTATTAGAGTGTCAACTTATTGATAACTATAGAAATAAGGAAATAAATAGTGTACCACATCAAATTGTTTGGATGTGTGATAATGGTATGAAAGACAGTATACTTAGGAGCTACAAGAATTTTGCCCCAAGAGTGTAACAATTATATGCTGTACTTACTATATTAACCTGCAGTGTTAAATGGGATTCTTGTAATGTTATTTATCTATTTGTACTCACTGCATTTGTGCGCCCCTTGAGGGACTTGAAATAGCCTAAGCTACTCTATCCCTTTGAGATGTATTTATTGCTTATCTCAATAAACATACTTGAACTTGAACTACGTTTGTTTGTTTACCCTACACGTAAAATGCACAGCAATGGTGTACAATAAATTAACTAAACTTCAACACTGCTACAAAATATGCAACGATTTCCTGCAATCTAATCAATGATATTTACATCCTGTTTAATACTGTCATGGACATTACTTGGTCTATATCTCGTTTCATATTAAATAAGGCACTTATTAAGTGTAGAATAAAGTGCACCGCCAGTTATTCAAGAAATGAATAAGGAGGATGAATGAGAGGGAAGAGCATGCCAAGCACAGCTGGCTGCAGGGAACACTGCCAGCCACTCACCAACCCGACGCTCTCCATATCAACATATGCTTTCTCTTTACTCAATTTACGAATGATTGTATTCTTACTAGGTCTATCGATTGTCTCAGTATTTATGCAGCCAGTATGCTGAAGTATGACACATGCGGCTTGTCTAGTGATAAATACCAAACTTACATATGATTACATAACTTATATGTAATATTTTCATGCAGCTTTATCATGCTTTCATTTATTATTAAATGTATTTAGTTAAGCCATAAATATTCCCTTTAATAATGAGACATGTTTTCCTATTAATGCACATTAATATGAATATTTTTGACCTGAAAATATTTCCAGAACCGCTTTCATTCATAGAAGTTTTGTTGATCATAAAATATTCTAATCTGCATATAAATAGTATATTGTACTGACGTTACACATTAACAAAATGAGTTTTATCTTAAATATGTGGAAAAAAACAGCAGTATATTTTAACTCGTCTAAATAAATCACCAGACACTGTAGATCTTTTGATACGTGTAAGATGAGTTTATAGGGAGGGTCTCTGGTTTACACGTGTACGTAAAGCATCACCCACTAGGGCCGGCATCCTTACAATTGCCATCTACACGACTATCACCGGCATGCCGGATGCTGCTATTACAATTATTATTACAATACGGGCTGTAAATCTTCGTATACTTAGAACGTTTCATACTAATATGACTCCTTGGGGGCATTTTTGAATGAAAGCACTATGGCGGAGTCATCGAAATAATGAGAAGAAGAAGTCTCGGAGCGGAAGACGTCAAGTGATGGGGACGCGGCCGCTGCTCGCTCGGGGACGGCAACGATACTCTCCGCAGCCCGGCACGGCAGACCGTACACCGCAGCCGCCCAGTCAAGGTCTATGTCCATTTGATCCCGCCATGACTAGACGAGCAGTCCTTTTGTTAGCCTTCGTGGCACTCGCCTATGCCGGGGAGCTACAGGTGGAGCATATACAAAAAGCAGAGTCGTGTGAGCGGCCGTCTAAGAAGGGCGACATGCTCACCATGCACTACACTGGAACACTTGCTGCAGACGGGAAGAAATTCGACTCCAGGTAGGCAGTGGATGACCAGTTTTGGGCAGCGTAGCCAGCTAACCTGTGTTGTTCTGGGGCCCTTTAAAGTGTGGTGTCAGCTTAGTGAGCTATCTCATCGAGAACAATATGACGTTAATATCACCATCAATAGTATACAAATGATAAAATATTCAAGCTTAAAAAAATCTTAAGGTGGTGTCTATATGTATATATATATTTATAAATGTACATGAAGCGTGTAAAAGGGATGAAAAAGGGTAGAAAGCAGAAGCCGGAGTCGGAGTGAGGGTTGAGAGAGGTGGGGTGAGGCTGGAGTCGGTCGGTGGCCGCTGGAGAGTAACGGTGCACTGTGGGGCCTCCCGCCTCGCCACACCTCAACACTACACAATACCTACACTACTACACTCCTCATCTCTCGCTATTATTGAAATCTTATATATATATCTCGTGTTATCCCCGAGAATAATACAAGTCGAAGTCACCATTGTCTGGAGACGGCATAATTACCTGAGGTGTGGACCTGTAACACCTGCTGGCTCGTCTCCATCCGGCTTCTAAGTCGGCTTCGGAATGTCTACAATCATATATTCCATTAATTTAATTAGATATGCCTTGGGGTTGACTCTAGTTGTTATAAACACTATCCGAGTGTGCAGATCACAATCTAAATGAAAGCTTAGAGATCATGTCAAGAAAATACGAGAGACGCCGACTTGACGAGTCAACATCTTCCTAGTGTAATGAATCACCTGCTACACATATGCTTATTACTGAAGGTGTGCTACAGTGACTGAATGTCACAACTATGATAGTTGTATGGTGCACTCCCATGACTGATAGTCATATGGTGTGCTCCCATGACAGTCATATGGTGCGCTCCCATGACTGATAGTTGTATGGTGCACTCCCATGACTGATAGTCATATGGTGCGCTCCCATGACTGATAGTCATATGTTGCACTCCCATGACTGATAGTCATATGGTGCGCTCCCATGACTGATAGTCATATGGTGCGCTCCCATGACTGATAGTCATATGGTGCGCTCCCATGACTGATAGTCATATGTTGCACTCCCATGACTGATAGTCATATGGTGCGCTCCCATGACTGATAGTCATATGGTGCGCTCCCATGACTGATAGTCATATGGTGCGCTCCCATGACTGATAGTCATATGGTGTGCTCCCATGACTGATAGTCATATGGTGTGCTCCCATGACTGATAGTCATATGGTGTGCTCCCATGACTGATAGTCATATGGTGTGCTCCCATGACTGATAGTCATATGGTGCGCTCCCATGACTGATAGTCATATGGTGCGCTCCCATGACTGACAGCAACATGGCACGCTCAGGATGCCCTCAACTCCTCTGCTTATCTTCCCACCGTCACGTGACCTCAAGCTTACAGTGCGGGTTTACAACAGGGAAAACACACCTTATCACCTTGGAAATCATAAGTTTCAGTCAAGGTCCAGTAATTCGGATGGCTATATTTGTAATCAAATTAAGTGGTAATTAGTGAAGATGGAATTCACAACGTTTTTGGTGTTTCTTATGTACGTAGCGTTATTAGATCTTATGTACGTAGCGTTATCAGATCTTATGTACGTAGTGTTATCAGATCTTATGTACGTAGTGTTATCAGATCTTATGTACGTAGTGTTATCAGATCTTATGTACGTAGCGTTATCGGGTCTTGTTGTGTTGGCCGCGTTATCAGGTCTATGATTATTAAGAACTGATCTAATCAGTTATGAATATATATATATATATATATATATATATATATATATATATATATATATATATATATATATATATATATATATATATATATGTCGTACCTAGTAGCCAGAACGCACTTCTCAGCCTACTATGCAAGGCCCGATTTGCCTAATAAGCCAAGTTTTCATGAAATAATTGTTTTTCGACTACCTAACCTAACCTAACCTATAAAGATAGGTTAGGTAGGGTTGGTTAGGTTCGGTCATATATCTACGTTAGTTTTAACTCCAATAAAAAAAAAATTGACCTCATACATAATGAAAAAGGTAGCTTTATCATTTCATAAAAAAATTAAAGAAAATGTAATAATTTAGTAAAACTTGGCTTATTAGGCAAATCGGGTCTTGCATAGTTGGCTGAGAAGTGCATTCTGGCTACTAGGTACGACATATATATATATATATATATATATATATATATATATATATATATATATATATATATATATATATATATATATATATATATATATATATATATATATATATATATATATATATATATATATATATATTAGCCACTAAGCCAGAATGTACACAATAAGGAAGATAAGAAATACCTGATATTCAGCTGAGATTTTAAATTTTCCTTTCAGCACCACTATATATGATAGCAAACCACCCCATCATCTATAAATGAAGGGATGGATTCTTACCATATACCATGTTGCTGTGTATGTGTATGTTCAAGTATGTTTATTGAGACAAGAAAAAAATACATCTCAAATGTTGCTGTGAGTGAAGATGGTAGGATGGGACCCAGGGTAGATTCAATCTGTCCTCAGGGAGGAGAATACTCAACGGAATGGATTGGGAATGGCCACATAATCAGTGCTATTATCTACTCTATATCCATTGTTAAGTTAAGGTTAGGTTAGGTGATGACCAAACCATACAAAAGAAGATGAAGTAACGACGACGTTTCGGTCTGTCCTGGGTATTATCAAGTCACATATGACTTCATATTGGTCCAGGACGCCAGAAACGTCGCCGTTTCTTCATCTTCTGGTGTGTTGACCAAACCACACTAGAAAGTGAAGGGACGACGATGTTTCGGTCTGTCCTGGACCATTCTCAAGTCGTTCGGACGGACCGAAACGTCGTCGTCCCTTCACTTTCTAGTGTGTGGTTTGGTTAACATTTTTCAGCCACGTTATTGTGACTCATCATCTGCTGAAGGTTAGGTTAGGTTTCATTACGTTTGGTTACGTTTATACGGTGTATTATTGGCAGTAATATGAAATATGGAATTCAATAACTATTAAAGTGTACCCGAGAATTCTATTTACAGAAAACCAAATTCTTTAAAGAAGATGTTTTCATCATACACGTTATATTTTAAACCAACGATGTTTAGTACATTAAAGTTATAACTTGAGAATAATTTCTGTTTAGGACAAAGGTTCACTTGCCAGTTTACAAACAGACTATTACTGGAACAGTAACATGTTTCCAATCATCACAAATATCTAGATAAATATCTAGGTGGTCTGAAGAGGGAATGTGGTTTCTCATGGTAATGAATTTGTTCTGAGGAAGGGCTGCATTATTAACATATTACAGGCTATTACAGGCAAAGTATGATTTTTTATTTTTTAAAACATTTTGGAATGTAGCAAGGAAAAAATCAGAGTTGAGTTAATATGCCATTGCAAAATTTATCGTGGGATGGCTTAAGTGGTACTCTTTTCGTTGATGCTGACCCTGACCCAGCCATGTTGGGCATGTACCCAATAGCAATTGCTTTTCCCAATCATCTGTCTTCCAACCTCTGAAAGACAAACAGAATTCTAATTTATACTAGAGGGGGGTACCCAACTGCACCTGGGTCTCTCCCTCTTCCTCTCTCCTCCCCTCTCTCCAAATCTCCCCCTCCCCTCCCTCTTCTCCCCCTTTCTCATTCCTTCTCTTCAACATCCTTCCTCTCCCTCGCCTCCTTCATAGTGCAATCATCTCTCTCTCTCTCTCTCTCTCTCTCTCTCTCTCTCTCTCTCGCTCTCGCTCTCTCTCTCTCTCTCTCTCTCTCTCTCTCTCTCTCTCTCTCTCTCTCTCTGAACACTTATATAAGTCAACACCGAAACTGCTAAATAGTCTACGGACAACACAATCAATATTTCATACTTGACTGCCTGAAAATTACTTTGGGGGGGGGGGACATACAATTTTCTTTTTGTTTTCTATCGCACTGGAACACACCCTGACTTGCCTATAACACTCCCACACCCCACATGTTTCATATGTGAAAGTTGGGTAAGGCTAGACCAATGCATCTAACCTCGATCCTTGGAGAGACAGACACACTCACACACACAACATATAAAATAATAAAAACTACTTAAAGGTATTGTTAAAACAAATACCATGTTTTCAAACAAATATTACTATTTTGAGTGAGTAGCGTGGTCACACAGGAGAGTCCTGTGGATGGGTGGGTGTGAGGGTGAGTTCGGTGCATGGGTGGGTGAAGGGGGGCGGTGAGTTCGGTGCATGGGTGGAGTGGGGGAAGGATGGAGGTGGGGTGGGTTGTGTGAGGAGCCAGTAGCCCACCTCACCATTCCTTCACACCCTCCCCCCCCTCTTCTTCCATCCCTCCACCCACCCAGCAATCCCATATTACAGATAATTTCAGGCGCAGTATGATAGAATTTGTTGAAAATTTTGGTGTAATCAGAGCATAAAGTTGTACAATATGATAACATAAATAAACACACAATAAGGTCGTCGCGGCTCATTGGACAGCGCTCGGGGGTCTTATTCCTAAGGGCCCGGGTTCGATTCCCGGCAGAGGCAGAAACAAATGGGCAGAAACGGGAATTAAACGGCTGCTACGGGCTGCTTCCTGCGGATGTGTGTGCACATGTGTTAGAGAGAAATATATGTAGTAAACATAATAGAGGAAGAATAGATTGGTTAGAAAGGCGGGGTCCAAGAGCTAGTAGATCTATTCTGTAGGTACAAATATATATATATATATATACCTACATATAAATGTATAAATATATATATATATATATATATATATATATATATATATATATGCGAACAAGCCTGAATGGTCCCCAGGACTATATGCGAATGAAAACTCACACCCCAGAAGTGACTCGAACCCATACTCCCAGAAGCAACACAACTGGTAACTACAGGGCGCCTTAATCCGCTTGACCATCACGGCCGTCAAAAGGAAGTGATAGCCGAGGCTATTTGAGCCACTTCCCCGACGGCAACTCGG